ACAGCCAGCCACTGCCCTGTATCACTTTTGTTTTCTCTATGCTTTTTTAAAGTGCATTTTTTTTCTAGCAAAGGGAGAAATCAAAAGCTTTCTTTTCAGTATTTCTCTCCCACCCCCCTCCCAGCACACACTGGCCTGAAATCTCCCTCCCCCTCAGGATCCAGAGAAACTCACTAGCAAATAGTAAGAAACCTGATTAGAAAATATATATTGTTTTTAATTCACAGTTTTTTCTACTCCTCTCCCTTTCTCTCTCTCTGTCCATACACACACACACACACCCTTTCTTTCTGCTTTGGTGTTTAAAATAAAGGGGAAGGGGGGGTGGCCACAGGAGGAGGGAACTCACCTTGTTCCCCAAGGATTTCCCCATTTACAACACAAAAGCTCAAACTTTAGAGCTGGCAAATAGCACCCTCTGCCAACTGCCATTGCAGAAAGCGTACTATGCTTGCAGTTCAAAAAACAAACAAACAAAAAGAGATAAAACGGCTTTTGGGTAGAAGACTCTGAAACCCCACCCCCACACACACACTGTAGGGAAGCTATGGTGTGACTCCTGATAAGAGATAAAAGAGGGATTTCTCACCACCCAAGCAAGAAATAGGCAAGGCTGGAGAAGGAAAGAGCTGATGCCAGAGGCAAGAAGGAGGAAAATTTCCTCGCACGTGTGCAGAGCAGGCTTTTGGCGAGGAAGGGGAAGGGGAGGGCAGGGGGCGAGGCAGGCTCAAAAGCCAGTCGGAACTGCGTTCCAGTGCGTTCCTGCCCAAAAATAGCCCTGATTATCAAGAATAGCAGTTTGGGAATAGTACAGCCAACATTGTTAGGGACTTCAAGAAGATCAAGCCTTCTTCGTCAAGGCAATTTTTATCACCTCTAAACACAGAACTCAGAACAACTGCATGAACTTTTAGTTTCATCTAACCCTCTCAAACGTTCTCTTGGTTAGTTTTTACAATAGGAAAAAGAAATGACTGCTTTTGACAAGTTGTTGAGAAAATGTGGGCTATTCAAAAAGTCGGACTAACAAACACAAATCCAATATCTCAACACCGTTCTGAAAGGACTTAGGAAGATGATTTTTTCAGAATTCTGTATATCACTATATCCCACAGTAAAGTGACTGACCTCCATGCCATGAAAACCACAAAACCTAGTGATCTACGGATAAGTGGATATTGGGACATATTGAGTGGATTCCCAAGGCATGCAGAAAAATCTCCTTTCTAAAAGAGTGGGAAAAAGCCTGATGAAAATTTAATACACTGCAGGAGGTACAGAATGTTGAGAAGAGTTAGGCCTCAGGAAAAGAAAAGGGGGACTTGCTCAAGACCCTGAGAGCTTATAGAATCCTGGAGAGAGAAATCTGGGGGAGCAACAGTTTTGAGATTGCTTCCCCTCCCACAGTTCTTCATCAGCTCCTGGCTTGTTTTGAATATAAAGCAACACAGCCTGCAAGGAAATGCAAAGAAAATGAAAAGTTGGTTTTATATACCACTCTTCACTACCCAAAGGAGTTTTGGAGTGGCTTACAATCACCTTCCCTTCCTCTCCCCATAACAGGCACCCTGTGAGGTAGGTGGGGCTGAGAGAGTTCTGAGAGAACTGTGACTGACTCAAGGTCACCCAGCTGGCTTCATGTGGAGGAGTGGGGAATCAAACCCAGTTCTCCAGATTAGAGTCCGCAACTCTTAGCCACTATACAAAGCTGGATTCCAACTGTATTACCCTATGGCAGTTAATACAGCAGGATAAAGTGACTTCTTCAGCTAATGTCTAAACTGCAGTCAACTTTGCTAAACTCAAATCAATATTCTCAAAATATTAAAATTGTAGCAGACTAGCAAGAACAAAATTAAGGACATGAACACACATTTTCTCCCTTAGTCCTAGCTGCAGGGTCAAAGTGAGGCACACACAGAAACATAATTCACAGTGACCTTATAGAAAATGCAAATGCAAAAGAATAATGCTGAAAACATATATATAAAAACCTGTACTTCACCTATAGAAGTAATTAGCTGTGTTAAACACAATACCACCTGATTGAACATATGCCTTTTCATGAGCAGGTTTCCTTCCATGAGTGGAAAGCATCTTTGTATCAAATCCTACATTATCCAAGGATTTTTACGTCATTTTGTTAAATTTAAATTAGGCAGTTACAGTTACTTATTATTTAATGTGAATTACAGAGACACACCAATCAGTTAAAGGAGAATCATGTGCAGAAGACTGCTTGCACACACATGTACTGTTGCTTTAGGAACAGAACCGCCTTCCAAGATACCAGGGGTGATTCTGGTGAGTGAATTCCCTGGGACCAGATCACACTCTACTGTAAGGCTAATTATGCAAGTTTAAACCCATTGACTTAAGCATGCTGTTTTCTGGAAAACAGTTGCAAGTGTAGCAGTTATTTCAAGTCTCTGTTGTAACTGACTGGGGGAGGGGAGGCTTAAATCAATATTTTGTGGCATTTGGGACTGAGTTATGCAGCACACACAGGAACAGCAATAGGAGGCGTTGAATGGAAGGGAGAACTAAAACAGTGTTTTAAGCAGAAACAGCGACATTTTCCTAATAGAATAATCCTATAGATGTTTACTCAGCCCTATTAAACTCAATTGGGTTACATCCAGGTAAATCTGAAGAAGATTGCAGTCTAGGCTGCAAGTCTGTGCACCACTTGTTTGGGAGTAAACAGTACTGAACGTAGTGTGATTTTTTGTTGTGCGATTGATTTCTGAATAAACATGGGGAGGTGTGCATGGCAACTCTTTTTATATGCACAAGCTTTTTGCAGGAGTAGATAATCTTTATTGAAATAAAATTCTTGTTGGTTTATATTTAGCATGCATAGTGCTGCAACCAGAGGGTGCCCCTAACCAGTTCCAGACAGAGCCAGACTAACTTAAACAGCCACACTGATTTATGGTGCGATCTATTTCTTAAGGTCCCCAAGAGCTCCCAATGATCACAGTGCTTCTCATCCTGCATAAACAGCACCACATTTTGGCCCTATGACTGTATTATCTAGCAGTGGAGTTCTTTTTAAAACTGCAGTTAAAACTGCTATTAATTTGCTATAAAAGCATTCCAAATCCTGGGGCCATGAATTCAGCGATACTAAACTGTCTTTTATTCTGCTTTTTATTTTTCTTGCAGTTCCATCTTCATGTACTGTAAAACTCTCATATCTGTTCCATTGAGGGCAATTCTAATCTGAAACGCTATAATTTTTCTTTGTTTCTTAAGATAAATGTTTTATTTATTACAGTTTTCTTTTAATCCAGCCTTTTTTCCAGGGCACTCAGGCAGACATTATCTCCTTACCATTTTATCCCCACAGCAATTTTGTGAGGTAGGTTAAGTGACAGCAAATGTTTGTAACTACATAAAATAATGACTCAAAACACCTGTTGCATACAAAAATTGGAAATAAAAATGAGGCATTTCAAATGGGTTTTTTTTTAAGAGAGTTAGTATAAAGGTTCAGCAAGTCTTTGGAAAAAGGCTTATTACCGATAATATCATGGTAGGATTTAATTTTATAGCTGGCTAGTAGAAAACAGTAGCCTGGTAACAAGCCCAGCTACCATTTGTGGACCACCAATTAGTCATAAAGTGGATACACATCTGAATAGGGATGCTATAGTACTGCCATACCTTTTTCCAACAACCTAAGAGGCGACTCTACACATGGACATCACCAGATGGGCAACACCGAAATCAGATTAACTATATAATTTGCAGTCAAAGATGGAGAAGCTCTATCCAGTCAGTAAAAACAAGACCTGGAGCTGACTGTGGCTCAGATCATGAGCTACTCATTGCAAAATTCAGACTTAAACTGAAGAAAATTGGGAAAACCACTAGGCCATTCAGGTTTGACCTAGATCGCATCCCTGATGAATATACAGTAGAGGTGAAGAATAGATTCAAGGGTCTAGATTTGATAGATAGAGTGCCTGAAGAACTATGGACGGAGGTTCGTGACATTGTACAGGAGGCAGCAATCACCACCATCCCAAAGAAAAAGAAATGCAAGAAAGCAAAGTGGCTGTCTGATGAGGCTTTACAAATAGCAGAGGAAAGAAGGAAAGTGAAAGGCGAAGGCAAAAAGGAAAGATTTACCCAACTGAATGCAGATTTCCAGAGAAAAGCAAGGAGAGATAAGGAGGCCTTCCTGAATAAACAATGCAAAGTAATAGAGGAAAACAATAGAATGGGAAGGACTAGAGATCTCTTCAAGAAAATTGGAGAAATCAAGGGAGCGTTTCATGCCAAGCTGGCCATGCTAAAGGACAAAAACGGTAGGGACCTAACAGAAGCAGAAGAGATTAGGAAAAGATGGCAAGAATACACAGAAGAACTATACAAGAAAGACCTCGATGTCCTTGACAACCACGACGGTATAATCACTGACCTCGAGCCAGACATCCTGGAATGTGAAGTTAAATGGGCCTTAGAAAGCATTACTAACAACAAAGCTAGTGGAGGTGATGGTATCCCAGCTGAGCTATTCAAAGTCTTAAAAGATGATGCTGTTAAAGTGCTGCACTCAATTTGCCAGCAAATTTGGAAAACCCAACAGTGGCTCAGGGTAAAACAGTGGCTCAGGGTAAAAGTGGGCTTGAAGCTCAAGATAAAAAAACAAACAAACTAAGATCATGGCATCTGGCCCCATCACTCCTTGGCAAATAGCAGGGGAAGTTGTGGAAGTAGTGACAGACTTCACGTTCCTGGGATCCCAGATCACCGCAGACAGTGACAGCAGCCATGAAATTTGTCAAGCCTAACCTGACAACATACGTTCTTCGGTCATCTAGGCGTCTGCCCAGGGCTGGCACACTCTGTCCAATACATCTAATCATGCATAAATACGTTTTTGCATGCAACTAGAGCAGGCTCTGGGGCAATATGCAAGTAATTTATACATAGTCACTAAACTCTAATAATCCTTCTGTGTAGAAGTTATCAGTCCAATGCTTACATACCTGTGTCTCCTCCAGATCCAGTTGACAAAGCTGGCATGGTTCAGTCTGCAGACCACAACACACACATATGCTAGAACAGGAGTCCAGACAGAAGGTGACAGTTAACTTCAATACGCTGCTTCTGGACTTTTTACAAAGACTTGCGTAGTAGTTTCAAAGCAGACCTGGAAAAAAACAGAAATATAGCACGATAAATAAAAACTGTTAAAACTGAAAATTACTAACAAAGGTCAAAGAACAATTAGCCATCTCAAAGCACTTTATATTTAAATTACGATAAAATGAATTATTTTAGAATCTCAAGAAATAGTGAGCAATGTACACATTGTTTCTTGTAATCTAGTATGTAATCAGAGAATGCATACATAAAATCTGTGCGAAATCTAGCCAGAATCCAAATAATTGTACAGGCTCATGATAGACACTTGCACGGCTCGTAGCAGAATTTGACTCTTTCTCCCACTATATCTTCAGTTTCAAAAACAGTTTGGCAATATGGCACAGGGGACTGGCTGATCAAGAAAAACAAATCTGCAGCCCCTTTAGTCCCCCAAGTCTAGTTGTAGTTCTTTTGGGACCCAATTTTTCCAACAAAACTTGGAGCCTGCATGAACTTCTAAGGCTACAGCTGTTTACTCTCACTTAATATAACCAAAATTTTCTTCTCTCTTCACTAGGGAGCACAGTATTTGTTTCAAGGTATTTTGAACACTTGGATAGCAGGTCACTAATACAGAAATGCAACTGGAAAGTTTAAATGTAACTATATAATTTTATTAAAACTACTGATGTTATCTTGTACGTACTGACCAAGTTTGAACAGAATTGTTGTAACACAAACCAGAGCCTGATTTAATAATGCTTATATGACAAACAAAAAACAAGAGCAATAAGACAGGCATTATAACACCTGTCATTATAACACTCATCTTCAAATGAAGAGAACAGGTTGATATTTCTACACAATCTTGGTCAAAAGTAATAAATTAACAGTAATTTTGGCTTTCCATATGGATATATTTACTAATTATGTTTTACCATAATAATTATTTAAATCTAATGTAACTATTTATAGTTACCCTCAGTTATTTTCCCTATAAATTACACTATTACAATGAAGTTTTCACTCTACAAACTCCTACATTACCGGATTACTATTTTTCAGGAACCAGAAGTTCACACATTTTAAGTACTGTAATTCATTCACACACACACACCCCAAATAATTAATTTCAGCACCTGGACAGGATTTTCTAGTTGCTGATCAAATTGTCTGGTGATAGTATAATCACTGTGTTCTAAGGCACAAGTTTAAATGTTAGAGAGTTTTGTAAAAAAAAAATTGATCTTTTAACAATATCCATCCCATGGCCTTGTTGTGTGCTTAACCTGGTGACTGGCTATGGCCATTATGTCCAATCAAAACTCATCCTTGCAAACTCAGGATCTACATACAAGTTAAAACAGACTTCAGTTTTTAAGCATTCCCATGTGAGATCAAGCCAAGGGTACACTATAAATGTTTTTCAAAGCAATCCGTCCTGCTTCAAGTGTCACATGCAAATATCAAAAAGAAATTTTTTTAAACTTAGACACACATACAAATCTATTACTGTACAATCAAGGTGGTATTACCCAGCCTATCAGCTATCTTAGTTATGTGCTGATTCAGTCAGTTGCATAGCTCAAACCTTTGAAACTATATCAAAAGCATAGATTCATATTAATGAACATATTATATGGATTGCAGAGCTAATTAAGATAATAAATTTAAAGACCAGAAGTTCAATTAATCTAGCAAATGCTCAATATTATCAAGTGTGGATGCCATTCCTCATTTTTCTTTAGTGTGGTTAAATTCTTAAATATTAACTTTCATAACCCTTACTATAAAAAGTGTGGTATGAAGTTATTCCCTACAGAATCTCTATGTATATATTACTGAAAAATAAATGACCTGATGAAATCCCTAGTACTAAAAAGCTTAATATTTTGCTGGAACAAAACAAGATTCTTCTCCTCAAAACTTGTAAATTAAGTTACATTTTTAGTGATGTTTGGTTTGGCTAAATGTACTTCAAAATGCTTTGTAATTTTCTGTCAGAATCCAACTAAGTACTACTGACTGTTGCATGGAATCGATTTGCTGCAACACAGAAATACCAGCTGTTATAGTATGTCCTGAGAGGGATTACCGAATATTCTTAAATTGAAGTTCAATCCATCTTTCCATAAAAACACAACCAAAAGCCAGGAACGTAAAAAGAGTATCAAGTGCACCTGAGGCATTTACAATGCCCAATAGGACTGTCAGAACCAGCCCTTTAAAAAGGCTTATTTTTTTGAAATTTCATTATTCCAGTTGTACCTTGCTTCTATATCACACTGTATCAGATTCTTTTGGCATCTACTATGTGGAAACAGTGAAATATGTTAAGTTCAGTGATATGTTGTTGAATTTCCACCAGGCCCTTAGTAACCTCTCAGGCTTCTGTAATACTTGTGACATCTAGTGGTTATGTGAAATGGTGCATTGCCATTTGTTTGGGATACTTAATGACACAAAGGCAGGTCCACTCAGATATAAACATTACAATCCCGAATTCTTTTCTTTAAAAGTCATTAAGCTTAAAGCTACACGACAGATTCACACAGTGTAATATTCTATTCTTGTTTCATATTTTCATAATCCAAAACCTAGTCTACTGCTTATTAGATGTCTAATTCTATTGATTACATTGATTTACAGTGTATAGTCTCAGTAAGAAAGGTGGACTTGACTATAAACACTCTAAAACTTACAGTGTATAGTCTCAGTAAGAAAGGTTGACTATAAACACTCTAAAGCAAAATACATAAATGAAATAAATACTGAGAGCTGTTATTCCTTCTAGCATATACAACCGCAACTATCACCACAATATAACAGGCTTTTAAATATTAATACTTAGGGAAGTACTATACCAACGCTCAGCATTCAAAATATTTCTGATGACTTTTCAGAAACCGTTACAGAAATCCAGTAGTACTATATCAACTATTATTACTCTACAGATGATGGCTTGTCTAAGGACATTCAGCACTTCACAGCTAAACTGACATTTAAAGCAGGAACTTTCTGGCTTAAAACTTATGCCTTCAATCATTTTGCTACAATAATTCTTGAAATCCAGTTGAATTTTAGAACATCAAAATGAGCTGGAATTCAACCATAAAAAGTACTTCATAAGTGGTTGGAAGGTGGAAGAGTGTGTGTGTGATGGATCATCATATAATCACAGTGAGTATTAGGTTCCATGTCACAGGAATGCAACAAGCAAATATCCTTCCACAGAAGAGCTGGCCTTGATGTGACTTCCAGTAGATTAACATAGTAGCTAGGATGTTTCTTTGGCAATTGCAGTGTAACTCAACTTCTTAAGCTTTACCTCCAAAGCCTAATGATCCTTTTGGATGCTTCCAGTTTGAGTTAGTATAAGATTCCAAATGAAAATAAAAGCATAGAGCAAGCTTTTGCTTAAATTGCCAAGCTTTAACAGTTTACCACGTGGTGAGAATGAAGGAAAATAGTTAAGCATGTGGTCCCACATTTCTAAAAATCTATTCCTCCAGAACTCTCAAAATGTCAATATGTCCAAAGCAAGGACGGCTTGGCTTAATCTGCATTTTCACAATTCGTCCTAATGATGAATTGCCACAGACTAACAGTGTCTGCTAAATCTGGCTCTGGACAACTATTTCTACTCCTATCAATTCTTCCACAGATCATTTACAACTCATTATGTTCAAGTCCCATACTTTGTGGTTGGTTTATTACTTAGTTTGGGGAAATGGAAATGCAGAACTGATTCTGAGAAGTATTTTAGTCACTTCATATATGTGTGTACAAAACACAGTATTTCACAAAAAAGTCTTTAAATGCTTTTAAAATACCATGGCCTAATATACAAGAAACTGAAAATATAGCACGAATGTTCATTTGAAGTTGAAGCCTTTTGCATGGATTAATTCAACAAGAGCAGTGGTGAATAGCATCCTGTTCATGCAAAAACAGAATATTTCCTTAAGTCTACAGGTTCAGAGCCAAAAGTATTAAGCATGGTCACAGAGCTACTGTGACCAGTTCCGTTCCAGGAGCTTAAACATTCATACAAGCCAAAAAGCACTATTTGTATTTAAGTTTTGCTAGTTTTCTGCTTGAAAGTATATAAATATCTAATAAAGTCTCTAACTAAACAGAAAAATCTAATTCAGCACAATTATTTTATTAGAGCCAGGATTATTTCAATGCAGCATTGTTCATTTTGTTGGGGCAGGGGAGGAAGCAAAGGAAATGCAAACATTAACTTGGAGCCCCTGCATATCCTGTATAGCCCACAGTATATACTTCATAACAGAAAATGTTACTATAATGAAGGCAAAAGGAGGAGCCATACAAAGGTGGAAAAAAATTAAAAACCACACACACTTTTCCTATGGGGCATTTGATTAAACAACATATTATTCATACTTGCATTGCTAGCTTCAGTACTTTGGCTGAAGTTTTATCAAGCATACAACCTCAGTGTTTTTGATGTTCTCTTTCTATTCTACTCAGTTTGTCTGCACCCCCAAGGACACGTCCGTACTCCTGAAGGGGTAAAATGTGACATGTTTAGAAAGCCAAAAAAGGAAAGTATAAGAATTTATCATCAACGATGAAGAATGGTTCTTTCTTCCAACTGCAGAATTGTTCCGTGATCTATGAAAGTACATCATTAAGCCTTCTGAAATTCTCCTTGGAGAAACTGGGTTTTGTTTTAGCTCTATTCTACTTATCTGACAGCTGCGGACTTGTTTCATTGTGTATTTAAACTGTTTTAATGATTATTATAGATTTTTATGTAATTAAGTTCAGGACTGTATAATGTAAAATAATAAAAATAGCTTCCCTAAATTAAGGCATTATAAATGTATTTAGACGCTAAATTCATAACAGGAAAATAATTTAATGTAGTTCCAAATAGTAGCTCAATTGTCTATATTACTACTTTATTCGTTTTTGCCTTCTAGACCGACAAGCTTGCCTAGGTACTAGTATTATCAACCATAATGATTCAGTGATCCTGTATCAAAATGGCCTATCCAAGTGTCAAGTTCAAATTTCTCAGTCTACTGTATTCAT